GATCAGGTGTGTCAAACTCATCTTGGTTCATGGGCCACATACAACCTAATTAGATGTGGGCCAGACCAATACAATCATAACCTAATTAACTAAAAATAAAAATAAGTCTATTTTTTTCCCCTTTTGTTTTCATGTAAAAAGTGTTAGATATTATTATTTATTCTTATTTAATGAAGTATAATTTTACAAAAATATCCTATTTTTTTTACTTTCACAATTCATTCAAGTGGGCCGGATAGAACACCCTAGTGGGCCAATTTTTGCCCATTGGCCATATGTTTGACCACCCCTGCTATAGACAGAGTCAAACAATAATCTCAAATCTTTAAAAATGACTCAATGACTTTCCATGTTATTGAACTGTGAAGAAGCCAAAGAACCAAACACAAGCAGTGGACCTCCAATCTCTATACAGAACATCCATCAGGTTGGGGCTCGAACCTGTGATGTTCTTGCTGTAAGGCTAAGAGTGCAAACCACTCTTTCGCTCTCTGGCAAGAAAACTGTATTTTGTATAATTATTTTTAGATTCATATCCCTGCATAATTCCAGTAATTCTAGTATTAGTTTCTACCAGTCATTGACTGTAAGCACTGAAAGATGCTACGCTAACACCCAGGGCATACACCTGGTGCTGAACGTTGCATGTTTGAAGACCCATGGGACCTTTCTATAATTTCTGGGTTGCATCCTGCGGAGTGTTGCATTCATTTTCTTGTCGCGTGTGTATGCAGTTCCATTCATGCAAACCTGATCTGAACTCTAGTTCATAAATAATGCACCTATTTCAATGAGTCTACCCGCGGGGTGTTCACCGTCGGTGCTTGGAGGCACATTTTCAGATTCTTCTCTCAGTAGGCTGCAATCTTGCTTACGTGGCAAAATTAATTCTGCAGAATTGTACATTTTCCTTAAATAAAAATTAGCCTATTAATGGCACGGTTTGACACCAAAAAATGTTGCCTTAATGCTTGTAATTAAAGTGTAAAATTGAGAGGGCAAATGTCACATGCTGTGCAAAAATATCAGATGCTTGAATTGTGACGTTGTCTTCCAAATCTGGGACGTTTTCAGTGAATTGCAGTTTTGTTTTTTCCACTTACTGTCCATGGAGTAGTTAATCCAACTTAATGGTGATGGCGTCAACGGGGACATTAATAGCACAGAGGGAGGACAGGGGGTGGAGAACCATGTGATAAATGCTGCGAACCTGCACATGCTTCTCATTTCTCAGCTCATGACACATTCTCATAAAACATCACACACAGACTGCCTTTGTTTCGTCGTTTGATTCAGAGGCGTTCCTCTGCGACTTTGTTTTTACTGTGTTTAAAAAAAGCAGTTTGGTCTTTGCCATAGGTGACGTTTGGGACATTTATAGGTCATTCTCCTCAAAGTAGATACAACGAAGGATGAAAATTAAATTTACAAAGTGGTCGCTCTCCTGAATGACATTAGAAGGTTTCAGGTTTAATAACATGTAGTCCCCAAATCATGTCCCAATGCCAGTTTATTTTTAAACATTACAACGATTTTCATTTGGGTACTCGCCAATAATGAGGACCGTCACGATACATCTTTAGGTCGGGAATCAATGAATATGCAATGATCAGCTTTGTTGGTACCAGGGTGAGGTGAAATAAAAGCCGCAGTGAGCGCACCAAGGAAGAAAATATTTACATATATGTGCTGTATATACTGACAGTTTTATTTTCTTCTCATTAACAGAAGTATTTCAATCCAAAAGGAAACAAATATTTTTGTATTAAACAAAACGGTTTCTTCACATTAGACAATACATCAATAAGACTAAGGAGAAAATAAATATATATTTAAGCATATATATGTACTTGTGTATTTGTGTGTATACATCTATACATACTGTATATGTATATACAGTATATATATATATTTGTATATGTATGTAATTATATATATATATATATATACTGTATATATACATATATGTATGTATATATGTATGTATCTTGTTGTTATTGATATACAGAATGTGAGCAGAGCCTTTACACCATTAGCACGTTTCAATTGAAGTCTCCTGCTTTCCAGTTAAGTGTTACTTCAACTTTGTAGTATTATTTCCATACTTCCATAAATAAATGAACACACAATAAGCCGTCCACACAGCACGAGCTAAAAGTTGTTCTTTCTTATTTGTCTTGACACATTAGTGATTAATAAAACTGTGAACCGTTTGGAAACAGCTACCTGATCTGAAACTGTGCATCGTCAATAGAAAGAAAACAGATGTTTGGATGAAGTGAAAAAGGGGCCATGGTCACATTTAATGTGTTTTCCTCTCAGTGATGCAGTGCTAGATAATGTTGCAGTTATTCCCCCCTTTAATTTGCTCTTTCTCTCAATCATGCTGCAGCAGTGACTCACTCCTGCCATTCCTTTAGCCCCTGGTTTTCCATTAGTCTCTTAGCAACCCCGGCTTGATCCCTCATGATGTAGTCAGGAAACTCCTCATCTCTCTCTCTTTTGTTTCTTTTCGCAAAATTAGAAAACAGGAACCAGGCACTGGAAACATAATCCCGGCCTCCAGTGGTTGCAGGCCTGCTGGAACTCAAACCAACAACCAGATAGTCATCGACAGTGTGGGCGGTGGGGGGGCAGTGAGGCAAATGGGGCTGCAGTCTTTGGGTGAGGGTGGGGTACACTCAGGGCCACCTATAGGTAAAGAAGAGATAAACAACAATTTACACTAATTTACTGAGCAATTCACACTCATTCACACCTGAGGTCAATTTAGAGCGTTGATTCTTAACCGTGTGGCGGGGGCCCAGGGTCAGTGACCTTATTTTATGCAAGGCCGAAACACTAACCACTTCTCCCTCTGTGTGGTGCTAATTTTTCATCCTAATATGTCAAGTGTCCAATCAACCCTAATGTCTACTCCTCATGTTTTTCAGAATGTGGACAACATTGAGCGTTTTTGGCAACTTTATGTTCACAGCAACATTCACTTTAGAAATAAAACCACATTTTGTTCCTCATATTTTGAAAGTGTGGAACACTTGAGGCAGGTTTTCGCTCCTATTCCTTCATTAACAGAAGTATATAAATGGTTTCACAGGGTTAACCTGATCCTGCAGGTTTCTTAACCAACCCCGCCTGCCCCCCCTCCCCCCCCCACACACACACACACACACACACAAACATACACGCAGGGAGAGTCAAAAAAGAAAAATTTAGGAAACAAGCGAATCCGTAACTTTATTTCTGCACTAACCATTTCTCCCTCAGTGTGGTGCTAATTTGTCCATGCTAAAAATACTTCTTGATTTCATCAACGTAACCGTTAGGGGGAAATCATGGTCACATGATTTCCTCATTGAATCCTTGATAATTTTACCACGTAGATCGGAGAGTTTCAGTGCCTGCAGCTTCAGTGCCTACAGATTCTGATCGAGTCCGACGTTTTAAATGTATGTAATTGCAGTTACACAACCTGGAATATAAAGCTTTCCTTTTTCCTCCACTCAGAGCTCCCGCAGCCAACAATAATATTGTAACTGGCTCTGCATCTCCTCCTCATCATCATGGGAAATATGATAAAACCTTGTGCCGGCTAAAAATACTTCTCAAAATAAACAGAATTGAAAATTTCAGGCCTCACACGGGCAGTAAAATCGGTCCAACTATTCACATTGTTAGGTTACGATTTTTTTTTTAATGATTTTTTTTTTTAATTTATTACTCGGTCTTTAACTTTTTTATATTCCGAAAAAAAAACCCAAAACGGTGCTAATAAATGCCAGGTGCAACCATGAAGCAGTGAGCTGACAAATGGAACCGATTTACCTATTTCTGTCAGCTCTGCTGGTATGAGCTGCATGTTGTAACTGGACACGTCCGACTGCATCACTTCTATCAACTCCCATGTGCAAAACAACAGATGAGTGGAATAGATAAAAGTTCAACTTTACGAGTTTTTACAGCTTTTATTTCTTACTGACAAATTGCTCTGCGGGAGGCCTCACACGGAACGCCCACCAGAACTATCACGCTTACACAATAATTGAATAATTGTAGCGAGCACATGCCTGTAAGTCTATCATTTCAGCAATGACGCAGGCTTTACGTCACACGTCCGACAGCTCCGAGCACATGTTCAAAGGGAGTTTTGGAAAAAAAAAAAAAAAAAAAATACAAAAATACCACCAGGGGAAAGGTCAAACTTTACACTTTATAATACCCCACTTCCTGCATCTATACTGGAAACACTTGAACCGAGCGTGACTAACGGCCGTCCGTGGTGACCAGAATGACACCAATTGTGTCTTTATGGTTTGAGGAGGAATGAGACACAGACAAGAAAAAGAATTTATATTTCATTCTTTGTTATGGTGGAAGACTCAGCATGTCCTCCTCCGTGAGGAGGGCTCTGACGGAAAGCATCAGTTTTCCAGTAAAAAGTCTAATTGTTTTACTCTGTCACTCCATGGGAGGTCACTTTTTTGAGGTTTGATTTATGTAGAGTAGGTTTTTTTTTTTTAAACCAAAACATTTTCTTTTGGAAAAAGTCAACTTCTTGTTGTTCATGCAGGTTGTGACCCACGTGGTGACAGCTCTTATCAGTTTTCATTCATGGCTCTGGTCATGTGAGCTCTCCTGACCTGTTTTAGTTACTTTTTTACTTTTCTGTAGAGAACGGTTTGTTTGGTTTGGTTTTCAAAAAAAAAAAAAAAAGTGAAGAAAGATTTTGTACTTTGCTGAAAATTTGTTTACTGAGGTTTTTGGCTGATGCAGGGACCAGTCTCCCTGGTTTGTGACTGTTTGTTCGTCTCTGTTTGTGGCCCATGTTTCAGACTGGTAAAGTTCACCCAAGGGCTGCTGGGAATTGTTCCAGCTCTTTGAATTGTTTGCTAATACCTCACAGGGCCACATAAACAGACAAGTAACCATTCACACTGACATTCACACCTCTGGTCAATGAAGTGTCCAATCAACCTAATGTCTGCTCCTCATGTTTTCAGAATGTGGACCGAAACTGGAGTTTCGGAAGAAACCCACGCACGCACATGGTCAACATGAAAATTCCATCCTTCTTGATGTAAAGGTAAGTGTTACTGTGATCTATAGATATTTGTGATGGTACAGAGGTGTTGGCAGTAGTTCTAAAACCTTATACCAGGCAACAAGGACTTTTTTTGTTTTTCTCTTAATACCTACACATTACAAATGCTGTTTTATACAGTGTCCAACTGACCTGCCTGCAGTCCAGATCTGTCTCCTATTGAAAACCATTGTCCCAGCACTGACCATGAACTGTTGAACTATTGGGTCAAAATTCAAAGGACAATCTAAGTTGTAGGATAAACATGTACTGAACAGTCTACTGTTGACAACACTTTAACCAGAAGTACTGAATCTGAACTATTACACTTACGGCCATACCACCCTGAACACTTCCGATCTCGTCTGATGAGGCATACAGACATGTTAAACTCTGCTGGGCCACTAAAAATGACCTAATGGATCATATGTTGCCCACAGGCCTCATGTTTGTCATATGCGATCTATTGAGAATAGGTGGAAATCTATATGGCAATAATATAAATAATCAATGCAGGTTTTTTATAGTTGGACATTTAAAAAAATTCTAGTGAATTGGTTTTTTTTTTGTAATTTTTTGGAGGTCAAATTAAGCAGAATTAATTTAACAAATTTAAACACGATCAATTTGGAACATTACCAAATTTGACCTTGCTTTAACAGACAATTCTCAAAAAAATAACAATTATCGTTTACTTTTCTGTAAAGAACGGTTTGTTTGGTTGGGTTTTCAAAAAAAAAAAAAAAAAAGTGAAGAAAGATTTTGTACTTTGCTGAAAATTTGTTTACTGAGGTTTTTGGCTGATGCAGGGACCAGTCTCCCTGGTTTGTGACTGTTTGTTCGTCTCTGTTTGTGGCCCATGTTTCAGACTGGTAAAGTTCACCCAAGGGCTGCTGGGAATTGTTCCAGCTCTTTGAATTGTTTGCTAATACCTCACAGGGCCACATAAACAGACAAGTAACCATTCACACTGACATTCACACCTCTGGTCAATGAAGTGTCCAATCAACCTAATGTCTGCTCCTCATGTTTTCAGAATGTGGACCGAAACTGGAGTTTCGGAAGAAACCCACGCACGCACATGGTCAACATGAAAATTCCATCCTTCTTGATGTAAAGGTAAGTGTTACTGTGATCTATAGATATTTGTGATGGTACAGAGGTGTTGGCAGTAGTTCTAAAACCTTATACCAGGCAACAAGGACTTTTTTTGTTTTTCTCTTAATACCTACACATTACAAATGCTGTTTTATACAGTGTCCAACTGACCTGCCTGCAGTCCAGATCTGTCTCCTATTGAAAACCATTGTCCCAGCACTGACCATGAACTGTTGAACTATTGGGTCAAAATTCAAAGGACAATCTAAGTTGTAGGATAAACATGTACTGAACAGTCTACTGTTGACAACACTTTAACCAGAAGTACTGAATCTGAACTATTACACTTACGGCCATACCACCCTGAACACTTCCGATCTCGTCTGATGAGGCATACAGACATGTTAAACTCTGCTGGGCCATTAAAAATGACCTAATGGATCATATGTTGCCCACAGGCCTCATGTTTGTCATATGCGATCTATTGAGAATAGGTGGAAATCTATATGGCAATAATATAAATAATCAATGCAGGTTTTTTATAGTTGGACATTTAAAAAAATTCTAGTGAATTGTTTTGGTTTTTTTTTTGTAATTTTTTGGAGGTCAAATTAAGCAGAATTAATTTAACAAATTTAAACACGATCAATTTGGAACATTACCAAATTTGACCTTGCTTTAACAGACAATTCTCAAAAAAATAACAATTATCTGTCTGATTCAATTGTGTGATGTACAAAAATGTACAAGAGGAAGAGCTTGGTAAACGCTTCAGCCTGAGATTATGACTCAACGAGCAGCATTTAGTTGAATCTAAAAATAATCTCTACTGGAATTTATGCATTTATCCACCAGCAATACCATGACCGTAAAATGGGTACTTAGCATTTAGCTCATGGTGGGTACTTTCCTCACCACTCAGGCATCAAACACTGCATAAAAACACATCCAGATTATAAGTCACGTTTGGTTTAGTAACATAATCCCCAACTCGGGTAATGTCACTGAGATGTTATTATATAAAATGGTGCTCATATAAAAGTCCCTTTTCCCGCCTGTGTGCGTGCACACGTGTCAGAGTGCGTACACGGCTGGATTTAGAGCCACCAACGTCACACAGGAGGAAACGTCATCTACTGTAGTAATGTCATTTGAAGTGTATTTATAGAAGCATTCACCAAAGAAGGCATAAAATCCTTTAATGCCTACAATGTACGCAACGTATGATGATGTTAATGGGTATATATTTGTCCTCTGTAATTGGATGCCGGTAGTATTGCATATATTGTATGTAAATATATAATGTCAGTCTGACAGCAGTTTATCTGTGGAGGAGTCAATCTATGGTGAATCTCATATGAGACGTAACGATGATCAATGACTGAAGATCTGATCAATGACGACCATTAATGTGATCCTATCGTGATGACTGCAGGCAGAAGAAATCAATTACACCAGAGAACAGCTGAGTCCTCGTGACTCCAGCTCTGAGAGACAAAAGTTAATTTTCTAAGAAACAGAAATGAAAGACATTGTGCAATAAATAAATAAGCAATAAATAAATGAACAAAATGTCACTAATAGACTCAGTGTTAGCAAAAGATCTGCAAACAAACTTAAGAAATCAAGAGTAAAAAGAAAAATGCCACAAATAACTTCTCCCAGATGTGGTTAAATGTCACAAGCCTTTCTTTAGCTTTCTTTAGTTGCAAAAAAAAACCAAAAAAACTAAACTAAACTAAAACTAAAAATATAATTAAGAAAGTGTAACTGAAAGTCACGCTTTAAGTTTAGTTAAAAAGATAAAAATAGTAATAATAATCAAACGTGCAGATAAATAACTGACAGCTGTCAAAAACCACAATATAGTGCTAAATATATGATAGGCACAATGCAAAAAGTATAATTTACACAACAACTAGTTACTACTGTAGTACTACTACCACTACTACCATTAGAGAGAACCATTAAAACAGTTAGGGCTGCACAGTAGTACCTGTACAGTAAGTACTGTGAAATTTTCCCTTGTCTCTATATGATTGCAATTAAAAAAAAAAAGATAAAAATTATTTTGTGTGACAGTACAAACCCTCGGTGCCTGTAAATGAAAGTTTAATCATTCAGGATTAAGTGCACATCCATTATTTTGCCTTAGAGCTGAGAACAAGCTCCGAGCAGCTCTGTACCGTATCAACATGAGTGACATGGACCTTAGCTGTACACACACACACACACACATATATGTCACATGTACGTGGAGCCGTAAGCTAACGCTGAAATGAACACACTGTACTAGTTACTCATAGTAACTGTTATGATTTGAATTTTTCCTGAATAAGTTCATTCAGTGTCGGTGTGTACACATGCACACGGGATGGGAATGAAGAAATGTATATTAACGAGCAAGAGGATGAGGGGGCAAGAGATGGGGAGAGAGAGAGAGATGGAAAATGAGAGCGAATGCTGAGAGAGTGAGTGAGAGTGAAAGAGAGAGAAGGAAAGAATGAGAGAGGGAGTGAAAAAGAGTGTGAGAAAAAGAGAGAGATGGTGAGTGTGACAGCGACTTCCGGAAATTAAAAAAGAAATGCTGTTAGACCCTCTGACAGGGACAGGGTCCATAATCAAGGTAAAAGGACGTGCTTAAAAATAGCAGCGGTCGGATCAGACGATGAGCAAGGATCAAATAGGTCACGAGAGAAATTAAACAGAGAGCACGTAGAGAAAGGAAGCTGTGGATCCAGCTCTGAACTGAGATCAATACCTGTAAATGTTCCCAATGGCTGCTTGTATTTTTAGACCGCTGTTTGATTCAGGTGGCAAAGAGAACAGACCCCCACAGAGTGGTCAAAGCCACGGCTGATGAGTATGAAAAGACGGTAAAAGGAAGGGACCCTTCAAGGACAGGCTCAGTGGTTGGACAGCCTGAAACTAGATCGAGGAGCAGGAGTTTGTTAGTGCAAACCTGCAATATGACAGTTATCTCTGTCTGTACGTTATTACAATGATCACAAATCCCAAATCAACTGTTGGGTCATTAGTTTTCATAACTGTCTCGCTCATTAACTCATTAACTGTTTGGTGCTCCGGTCTCTGCCAGCCCTCTGTTCTCTCTCTCCCTCCCGCCATCATTTACCATGAAAGGGTTGATGAACTTGTACTGAAGAATATGTTCTTCAGAAACACTTCTCCAGTCTTTAAGACGTCCTTTATAAAGTGAATCATGTCTGACGCTTTTCTTAGCTCGAGTGACTCAGATCTGGTATTTCAAGGCTCCGAGATTAATATATTTGCCCATGTTCAAGGCTCCGAGATTAATATATTTGCGTATGCATATATATAATATATATGTATACATATATGAACATATACATTTGTGTACATGTTGTACATATATATAAATATATGTGCATATATATGAATCAAAAAATATATGTACATATATTTACATATATGTATTTACCATATGTACATATTTGCATATATCTATATATGTTTATGCAGTTATTGGGGATCATAGGTTAAATTCCTGCCCTGGCTGTTGAACAAGTACCAAAAATTCCCACGAGTCCCAAATGTTCCTAAAATCACCAGACATAAACAACTAATTAAAAGTTAACAATTTTGAAGGTTAGTGGTCAGTCCACACGTATAAATGTGACTGTGAAGTGTCTGCGGGGTTTGGCTCCAGTTTCCACTCAGGAGAAGGATTAGGCCGTAGAAGATTAATTAATGATTAAACATATATGTATGTTTTTTAAATTATAAAATGATCTAATTTTCTACAATAGCTTTGACACATAACACGTGGACACCTGCTCCTCCAGGTGCCAAAATCTGTGATGTAAGTGACGCATCACTGTCAGAATTTAAGGCTCCCAGCTCTGCGTCAATTATATTAGTCCGTTAATGAGGTTCTATTTATAGGCTGCTCATTTGTATAATGTCACCGATGAGGTCAGGCCGACACACAAAGTTTTCATTCAGACACACGTGGACACACACGCACACGCAGGCAAGTTGCCGAGCACCAACCTCTGGTGGGTAAATGTAATTTTAGAAACACTCAAGAAAAGTCTCACTTTCCTCTTTAGTCCAAACTGGTTTAAGGTTTTTCCCACATGAATGCGCTTACACTTTCACTATTGTCCGGGAATTAACTGAAATCCTAAACTCTGATTCACTGAAGGAAATTCTGGGAATATCACAATATAAAAAACCTGTAGTGGAACAAAAACT